CTCGGCGGCAGCGGCGTCGCCGCCTGCACCCGCAATGGCGACCTCCCCGGCCGAGGGACGTGGCAGCGCAGCGGCACCGCTGCTGCGCTCCGCCGCGGCGGCGGCGGCCGCCGCCGCCGCGGCCGCCGCCGCCGACCTCATCTGCAAGTGGGCCACCAGCTGCGCGACGGCGTCGCAGTCCCAAAAAGTCTCATGCGCGTCTTGCCGCTCCGCCAGTCGCTCCAGCAGCCCCAGGGCCGCCAGCACCAAGGGGGGGCTGGCGGCGGCGAGGAGGTCTACGAAGAGCTCCACTGCTGGGAGGGTGGACATGGCCTGGCAGCGGCGGAGGAGGGTACATGGCAAGGAAGGGGGGAGGGGAGACGCGGCTGCGTGGGGCTGCGACGTGAGCGGGAGGAGGATACAGTGCTTTTGTCAAAGTTGAAATAAAAACCCTTTAGTACGTGACAATGACAGATCTGATGCCCATTATCTAACTGAGCATGCATGCAATTATCTTTTACGTCAAACGCGATGCGTTTTTGATCGGACCTAAACGACGTAGTACACGGGACAAAACGCCCTCTACTCTCCCCCCACAGCCCCCTGCCTGGCGGCCTCATCGGCACCAAAGGCCCACAGACGGCCGAAGCAGCTGTAGCAGCTCACCCGCGCCGTGTCCAAATCCCCCTCCGCCAGCAGCCGTAACAGCTGTAGCAGCTCAGAAAGGCACTGTACGGCAGACGCGGCGGCGGCTGTGCGCGGCGCTGTGGGGCTTCCCGAGGGCAGTCCGGTGCCCGGTGCCAGGGGGGGCGCCAGTGCTCTTGTTCCTCGACGTAGCTGGGGAGGTGGGGTCATCATGCGCATATGGAGGGGAAACGAGGGGAGGGCCCCGCACTCACTCATGGGCGGAAGTAATGCTAAGGAATGGACGGGCGAAGGTGCGGCGTGGTGGTGGTGGTGGTGGTGGCGGCTGACCACCGTAGATTGAGTGCGAGAGTGCGAGTGCGAGTGCGAGAGTGCAAGTGCGAGTGCGAGAGGGCGAGTGCGAGAGGGCGAGTGCGAGAGGGCGAGTGCGAGTGCGAGAGGCCGAGTGCGAGTGCGAGAGGGCGAGTGCGAGTGCGAGAGGGCGAGTGCGAGAGGGCGAGTGTACGAGAGTGCGAGTGCGAGTGCGAGAGTACGAGCGCGAGAGTGCGAGGGTGCGAGTGCGAGTGCGAGTGCGAGAGAGCGAGTGCGAATGCGAGAGGCCGAGTGCGAGAGTGCGAGTGCGAGTGCAAGTACGAGAGTGCGAGTGCGAGTGCGAGAGGGCGAGTGCGAGTGCGAGAGGGCGAGTGCAAGTACGAGCGTGCGAGTGCAAGTACGAGAGTGCGAGTGCGAGTGCGCGAGTGCGAGAGCGAGTGCGAGAGTGCGAGAGTAAGTGCGAGAGTGCGAGAGCGAGTGCGAGAGCGAGTGCGAGAGTGAATGCGAGAGTGCGAGTGCGAGAGTGTGAGTGCGAGTGCGAGAGTGTGAGAGTGCGAGAATGCGAGAGTGCGAGTGCGAGTGCGAGAGTGCGAGAGTGCGAGAGTGCGAGAGTGCGAGTGCAAGTACGAGAGTGCGAGTGCGAGTGCGCGAGTGCGAGAGTACGAGTGCGAGTGCGAGCACAAGGGAGTGAAGGGAGCGGGAGGATGGGAAGACGCGGGCGACATGATGCCCCGACCCGTCCCTATTCCAGTGGACGACACCACCGCCGGATGCGAGGTATTGTGGTGATGGTCAAAGCTGACCCGATGCCCGGTGGGAATGTCGTACAGAGAGGATGCCATACAGAGAAACACAGCCCCGTTGGTTGTCATGGCAAACGAGCATGGGTTACGGGTATGCGAATGGGAAAATCCGAAATCCGAGACGGCCGAATGTTGTGAGGCCGCTGTAAAGTGAGTGTGATTTGATCGGACAGACGCGGTGAATTGCCGTACCACGGTACTGGTCATCAGGCTAGGCCCCTCTCGGTCCTCACTCCCCGCCCCGCCGCCGGCTCCCGTCCCGTCTTCAACCGGGGCGACACCGTCGACGTCGGCTGAAGAGCCGCCGCCGCCCCGGGCGTGCGCGACGAATGCCACCTCCGCCAACCTCCCGTTACGCGATCCGCTCGCACGGGGCGGTGGTGGAGGCAGCAGCACGGAAGACTGCCGTACACCTCCTCCCGGTGGTGCTGACGGTGGCGGCGGCGGCTTCCTTGGCGGCGGCGCAACTTCCTCCAGCATTAAGAAGCTGTCTTCGTCACTCAGATCTTCACTGTTGTCACTATTGGTATCGTTGCGGTCATTTCCAACACCGCCACGACCGCCGCCGCCGCCAGCGCCTGCAGCTTCCGGCCGCCCACTGGCGCGCGGGCCCGCGGAGAGCGGTGAGGGCCGACCTGGCGGTACGGTACCGGTGTGCGTGTGGGCATGGCGGAAGTACGGCAGCTGGGAACCTGACGTTGAGGGTCCTGAGGGCTGGCGCTCCTCGGACAGCTCCAGGACCTGTGCGGGTAGGGTAGGGTAGGGCAGGGTAGCAGCAGGAGCACAACAAAGCCGTGCTAGGAATGGAGAATGTCGCCAATATCACACGTCAGAATGCGTTGAAGGAGCTGCATGCGGTCCATAGCCCTTGATGTGCAAAACACATCAGGCCGCACATACATATACGCACATACACATTCGTATACACACATGCACACACAGATGGGACCTGCCCGCGCACCTTCATCGCATGCTGCGCGGGGGACGTCCACTGCGACGTCTCGGTGCACATGGCCGCATGTAGCGACATGCGGGTGGGCACTCCGTGGGGCGCGGGCGAGTGCAGCCCCGGCCCCGAAACCAGCCCGCCACCGCTGCGAGTGGCGCCCAGCAGGGGGCTCTGACACCGCGGCTGCTGCTGCAGCGCCAAGTGCAATGATGCCGCGGTCCCCAAGCTCCCAGCTCCACTGCCGCCGCCGGCGCCGGCACCGCCAGGCCCCGTCGTGACGGACCGGCGCATGTCGAAGCTCGGGCGCCCCTCCGCGGTGGTGCTGGTGGTGTTGGTGGTGGAGTTGCCGGTCGGGCTAAGTGGCAGTGAACGGGGCGGCGGGAGTTGGGCGCCGGCGGACAACAGCGCCCCGCTTCCTCCTGGCAGGGCGAACGGAGACGTCGGGGCTGCCGTACTATTGGCGCCGCCGCCAGCGGCGGCAGCGGAGGCCAAAAGGGACTGAGATGGAGATGATGACGGCGGCGGTGGCGGCAGCGCGCCGCTGCCTGTGATCCTCTGCTGGCTGTCCGCGTGCATGTTGGAGCTGCGCCGGTTGGCCAGGGCCAAGTTGAGGTTGAGGTTGAGGTTGCTGTCGGTGGTGCTGGCGCTGATACCGCCGTTGACCTCTATCGGCCCCCCCCCGGCGGCGGCACCGGCGGATATGGGCCCGAGGGACCCGCGGAGAATGGCGCGGGAGAGGGCTGTGCCGTTGTAGGAGCTGCTGGCGGTGAGATCCGTACGAAGTGGTGGAGGGCGGGTGGAGGCGGCCGGGGGAAGTAGGGCGGGGCCGTGGGTGTCCCTGCGCACATACATACACACAGACACACACAAGGGAGGCAGGTAAAATTGCCCCTGTGCCGCCATCCCCTCCTTCCCCCCCCATCTCCCATCTCTCGCAGCAAGCCATCATAGGTACCAGATGCATGTGAGGTCCGGCACCGGCCCCGGTGAGCCCCCATGGTCCGCCTTGATAGGTCGCTGATCTTTTGTACGGACGTACTACGGACGTACTACGGGCGGCGGCGGCGCTGAAGGATAGAACGTGGTGGCGGATGAGGAACTCTGGATTGGCATATGGCTGATGCTAACAGGGCGCCGGGGTTGCGGGTTATGGGGGGAAAGATGAACCACACGAGCGAGTGAACCTGCTGCCAAGGAGGGAAAGACTGCTGCGGCAGATGTACGGGAAGCATTGGGACCGACCAGTCGGCGGTTGTGAAGAAGCAGTCCTCGCGATGATGTAGTGGTGACGACAGCGGAGAACTACCTACCTAGCCGCCAAGATTATAATAAGAGCGGGTTATGGGGTCACTGACACTCGTCACTGCCAAGGAACTCACCACACATGCGACAGCAGGTCCAGCAGTGCCGACACCACCCCGGGGCGAGACAGGAACTCCCGCGCGCAGCTCGCACATTCCACAAGCCGGAGCAGCAGCCGACCAGCCGCGTTGCGCTGCCGCTGCTGCTCCTCCGCCGCCAGGGAACCCCTGGGGGACGCAGTGGCGGCGCCGGAATCCGACAGCGCCTGGTGAGGCGGCGCAGGCGACTCTACCGCCACCACGAGGGCCTGTAACAGTTGCTCGGCCAGTACGGCGCCCACGCGGCCATTCTGCGGGGAGACACACACACACCACACACACATGTGGCGAAATACGTGCACGCGGGCACAGAATGAGGGGGGGAGGTCGCGTGCAAGTCATAATTAAGATCGTTTCAGGAACCTTCTAAGACGGCCTTTTGCCGTCGTGACCCTCATAAATGACCCACGGATCGGGCCACAATCCCCTAAAGCCCCTACCCCGCCCACCAAAGAAGCACGAGCCAATGACGGCGCCAAAATGCCCCCAGTCCACTCAAAACGTCTCCCCAGCATCATCGGCGAAAAACAGTCTGATTGTTCGCCGCCCTAAACTACCCTCAAGGCTGTTTTACCCCCAACCCTGCTCCACTCCCCTTATCTCCCCCCTCCCTTTCCCTCACCCCTCCCTCTTCCCCCCCCTCCCTTCCCCTCACCCCTCCCTCTTCCCCCCCTTCCCTTCCCCTCACCCCTCCCCACCTGCCCTCCTCCCCACCTGCATCTGAGCCGCCACCTGCGCCTCCCCCCCCGCCTTGAGCAACTCGCCCAAGATCTCCATCGCCAAAGTCCGGCCGCGAGTCAGATAAGGCTCCGTACACAGCAGCTGCCTTAACTGCTGCTGTGCTGCTGCTGGCGGCTGCTGTCAGCTACCCCCCCGCCGCCGCCGCCGGTTCCGCTCTTATGATGGTGATGGTGGCGGTAGTGGTAGTGCTGGCTATGCAATGGCCAGGCGCGGGACCTCGCGGCCGTCGGTGCCAATCCGCGACCGGGCTGGGAGCAGAGGGTGTCTTCCCGGCGGGCTAGGCTGGCTGCCAGGCTGCCCCACCCGCATGCCAGGTCGCACAGCGCCAAGACGACGGGCGGGGAGGTGAGGGCGGAGCGGCCCTCCCCCGCGGAGCCCCCCGCCGCCACCACCAGCACCTCCAGGAGGGCCAGCTTGTCCCGGGGGTGATTGGGAAGGCCCGTCGAGGCGGCGGAGGGGGCGGAGGCGGTGGCGGAAAAACCGGAATAGAGGAGCGGCTGGCCCTCTTCCGATCTGCTCGAGGGAGGTGAAGAGGGAGAGGACGGCAAGGCATGAAGGTCGGGAGGAGCGCGTGCGAGACGGGGCGCTCGCCAATGGCCCCCTGGCTCAGCGGCACGGGGTTCCTCTGGGGGTCCCTTACTGCCCCTTAGAGAGGGGCGCGCACACAGCTTGGAAAGGTAAAGGTTGCAGGAGCAGAGGTGCGTCCAACGGTTTGCTTTCTTCGCCTACATCACCGCCTACATCACCGTGCGCTGAGAGGCCCCCTTCATTCCCCAACTTACCCCAACAGACCACTGTGTTGTACAACCCGCCTTTCCCCCGCCCAAATCACTCCCCTGCCCCCGCTTGCAGTCCCCAGCCCTTACTCTGTGATTCCTCCTCCTCCTCGCTCCGCCCCAGGGCCGCCCATGAGACTGGATGTGACGGCCTCCAGGAGGGCCCCCCAGCCCGCCGCCATGACGGCACTGCGCCGTACAACCTCCAGCTGCGCCAGCTGCACCAGCACCAGCGCCGCCACCGCGCGGCAGGCGGGTCGGGCCAGCAGCGCCTGAAGGTGCGTCACCAGGCACAGCAGTGGCGGCGCCATCTCCAACGCGGGGGTCACCGCCGCGGCGGGCAGCAGCTGGTCCGTCCCCTTCTGGGGATAGGACGGCGGCAGTAGCGGCGATACGTCGTCACCTGTATGTACATCGCCGCCTGCACCTTTGCCTGGCGCTGTAGCTGGTGCTGGTGCTCTGGCGGCGGTGGCTTCCTTCGCAGCGGCGGCGGCGGCTTGCTGCTCTTGAGGGCCACATGCTGCTACTGCCAGCCGCGGAGACGAGGGGGTGCGGGGAACGGAGTGCGCCGCCAGTGCCGGATGGAGGCTAGTGGTGATGGTGGTGGTGGTGGTGGTGGTGAAGGGCTGGTCAGCAGGTGCAGCCGCGCAAGGGGGGACTTCACCGCAGGCCCCGGTCTCGCAGTTGGAGGAGGACCTCCGCTGGGCGCCAATAGAACGGGGCGGCGTCTGGGGCCCGCCGCCGCCGCCGCCGCCGCCACCACTGCTCCGCCGGTGCCGCTGGCTGCTGCTGTTGCTGCCGGCATCTCCTCCCGCACGCGAGTATCCCTCGTCTGCCGGCGACGGCAACAACTCCCCGGGAAGGCTCGTCAGTACGGGAGGCTCCGCCACTGAGCCATCCGGCGGCAATGGAAACAGCATTACTCCTGCTGCCGTACACTTTCCTGCCGCCGTCGCTGACGCTGGTGGCATCACCGCCAAGCCATGCGACCCGGGCTTGGCGATAAGCCCCATGCCGATTACGTCACCGCCGGCTGACGGGACCGCCGCCGCCCCGCCACAGCCGTTATCGTCGCTGTCGGAGGTAAAGAAAACAGAGCGATGAGGCGGCGGCGGTGGCGGTGGCTTGCTTCCGGGCGCCTCCGCGGCGACAGCCTGGCTTGCCGGTCGGCTGGTCCTGGACACGGGCCTCGAAGTGGACCTTGAAACGGACCTGCTGCAAATCGGAACAACACACACCGCCGTGAAGGTTGTGGTACGCAGGGACTTAGGGCTTGTTGGGGCTACGTGACCGTTCGCTACGTCTCCATCACTTGCTGCATGCGTGGCCAGTCTGTTTCCATGTCGTCACTTCTATCTCAAAGTCAGGCTCTGCACGCGCCGCTGCGCCACACCCCCACATCGCAAGCTGGCGGCCTAGTGGTGACGGCCACACAGGACAAGAGCGGCACTACTGCGCTCATGTGCAGCAGCGCCTCGTGAGAGCCGTCAGACACACGGGGTCTCCAGACCGCCCGCAGCCCTCCCCTCGTCCTGCCACGGCCACCAGCAGTGAGAACCCCCCACTCCAAAACACACAGTGCACAACGTCAGGGAGCCCCAGCGGCAGTCAGTCCCCCCGGCCGCCTGCAGCATCTGTCTAGTCCTGCAGGGTATGCGCCTATCTCTGGTACCAGCAGCATCACTCGTCTGTGGTTCGCCTGTCCCCCTGCCTCTCCTCACCTGCCAACCCGTCCCTCCCCAGCCCCCTCTCCACGGGAGCTCGGCGGCCGGCTCTCCGACGACACCACGGGCACCACGCAGCTGGGCAGCTGGAGGGGGGACACGTCGGGGGGGGGGGCGCCGGGGGGGGGCAGGGGGGTGCCGGGAAGGAGCGGCCCAGTCCACAACGGCGGAGACGCGGCGGCGGCGGATGCGACACTGCCAGCTCCCGCCGCCGCCGCGGCCTTTGCTGCTGCGGACGACGTCGGTGGCCTGTTGTTGGCGGTGTTGGTCGCGATCACGGCGGACACTGCTGTAGGCACCAGAGGTCCAGTTCCTCGCTCAATCTCGGAGACCTGTAGTTCGAAGGAACGTCGGCTCCCCAGGGCGGGCGTCCGGTGGTGGTGTACAGGGGAGCTGTCGCCGCCGCCGCCGTCACCGAGCCGGCTGTGTAGCTCAGACGCCGCAAGCAGGACTGACTGCCGGTGCTGACGCTTCGAAGGCCGCGCCGCCGGGTCGTACGACAGCGCCCGACTCTTGTCACCGTGCATGACGAAGAGAGAGCCGCCCCCGCCGCCGCCACCCTGGACGCCAGACGTGCCGTACATCACCGCCTCGGGGTTATGGCCCAGGCCCACCAGCAGGCTTCGAGCTATGGCCTCATCCGCCCCGGGAGCTGTGAGTGGAGAGGTGGTCAGGCGCCAGGCTGTCAGAGTTATCCGCAGCCGCGAGTCACTGGACGTCACCGCCGGCTGCGGCAACACGGCCGACAGCGCCGTCAGCAACTCCGGCATGCCGGCCACGCACCGCTGCAGCTCGCCGTTGCCCGTCATGAGCGCACAGAGCGCCGTCACAGCCAGGTCGTACGCTGCAGCGGCGCCGGCAGCTGGCAGGGCCTTACTCGCGGACTGAACCTCGAGTGCAACCACCTCAACGGCCCCGACCGATGCGAGGCCCAGTTGCATCACCGGCCGCGGCGCGGAGAGCCGTGAGTCGGCGGAGAGAGCCGCCACGAGACGGAGCGCTGCCGCCGCTCTCCACGGCTGCTGGTAGAACTGCGGCTGCTGATACTGGTGGTGGTAAGGAGCAGGAGGCGGCTGGCGTGATACGCATGTTGGTTCTTTCCCCCCCTCCCCATGCTTTTCCTTCTCCGTACGGAGGCCGGCGGGACTGTCAGGCTGATGCTGGTCGGATCCAGGATCCAGCCGTACCTGCTGCTCAGCCGCGATGCAGCGAACCAGCAGCGCCTCCACGCCCTGCGCCGCCAGCCCCGGGTGGCATTGCGGGTCCAACGCGAGGTTCAACAGCAGCTCCAGAAGCGTGCTGTGGATGTCCGGCAACGGAATGCGATCAGCCGCCGCAAGCTCCGCTTCAGCCGCTGTCGGCACCGCCGCCGCCGCACCGCCCTCCCCGAGCAGTGGCTGCTCCTGCTGCGCCCCAACAATAGCCGCAGCCGCAGCCGCGCCTCCCCCCCGCACATGGCCGTCCCAAGACTGATGTTGCTCCAGTAGGCCTAGCAGGTGCCGCAGAAGCGCCCCGAGCGCAGGAGTCGTCAGCACCGCCCGCACCCGGGGAAGGGAGGACAGGTTCAGCAGCACCCCCAGGCACAGTGAGAAGTGCAGCAGCCGGCTGCGGCCCGCGGAGGTCGCCGCGGAGGGAGGTCGCCTCGTGGGGCCGGAAGAGCCGCGTGCTGAGGACGGCGGCGGCGGTGGCCACATCATGATGGCCTCCACCACGGCCGACAAGGCCCCCGCCCGGAACAGCGCCTCCCGGACCAGCAGCGGGCCGCGGGCGAAGTGAACCACGACGCTCCGCGCCGCTGCGTGGGCTTCCGCCTCCACCCTCATGCCGGACCCCAGAAAGCCTACGCCCACATCTGCGCCGCCACCCTCAACACCGCCACTACCACACCAGTCGCTGCTGCCGTCGCCGCCGTCCAGAAGCTGCATGAGCGCCACCGCGTGCCGCGCGCACCCATCCACTACCGCGGCGCGAACCACGGGCCACTGCCAGGGCCAACCCGTCACGTCGGCCGTCAGCGCCGCTAGCAGCTGGAGTGTGAGGCACACCAGCTCCGGTGCCCCGGCAGTTACCGAGCCCACGGACACGTTGAGCGCCTCGCAGCATGCCTCTAGTGCGCCGGCAGACACCAGCCTATCACATGCTGGCCCCCGGCCTGGGATGGGGTTTGGCTGCTGGAGGCGGGCACTGGCTCCGGTTCCGCCTCCGGCTCCCCGGATGGGGGCGTTTGTATCTGGCGAGCCATCCCCGGGGAAAGAGGGGGAAGTCGCCAGGTGGAGCAGCAGTCGGGCAGCCGCGAGCCGGCAACTGATAGGGGGAGCTGCTGCGGGCGAACCATGGGGGGGAGCGTACAATGGCGGCAGGCGGCAGTACTCCTGACGGAAACATCGCCGCCGTGGGATAGGTCTGTAGCCGCACGTGCAGGCCGGTGCTGCTCAGCGTGCCGTCCGCGTCTGCCGCTGCTGCCGCTGCAGCGACGGCAGCCGCGCCTGCCGTGGCAGCGGCGCCGCTGCCGCCCAGGAGTAGCACCGCTGTGGGGATGATGACGGGCCCCGCCACGTCCTTGGGCAACTTTAGCTGCGCGTTTGTGAGCAGCGCCAGCAGCACGATTGCTGCCCGCTCGCCGGTGGTGTAGTCACCTGCTGCAGCTGCATTGGCGAAAACCCGAGCGACTAGGGCTACGGGCTGTATGGCCGCCAGTGCTGCTCGCCCCTGAGTGGCCAGAGCCGCAGAGTGAAGCCTGGCCAGGGCGGCATGTGTGGCTGCTGGCGATTTGAAGGTGAGGAGGAGAACTGCCTTTTGCAGGAAGCTAGGGTCGAACCTGTTAGCAGCCTCGCTCGCTGCTGCAGAGTTTGTAGGCTCCGCCGGGAACGAGCTCCCAGTTGTTGTCGCCAATCTCAGAACTTGACGCTCTGGAGGCACTGCGGATCTAGGGCGCTGAGCATCGGCGGTCGAATGTAACACCCGTTGCCCATATTGGCAAGTATTTTGTGGCTGCGATTGTGGAATTAATGCTGCAGAGAAAGCATGGTCAGAGGTTGCTGGGAGCTGCAGAAAGAAAGCAAGGGTGGGAGCCCCAGCGGGCATGGGCGGCACGCTGGATAGATGCCAACCACTAACTGTCGACTGCCCTGAAGTTGCGCAAGCTCCATAATCATCCTTTATCTGAGAAGACGGTATAAGGTTTGTGATGGTCGTCGGCTCCTGGCCTGAGCTGAGCTTATGAGCACCCGATGGTTCAGAGGTTCCTGACCGCCGGCCTTCTTCCCTTGGGGGAGGGTGTTTTGGCGGTAGAATGAAGCCTTCTAATGCAACAAGCCCGTCCAGGAGCCTACGCTCAGACCAAAGCCATACCATGCACACTTAGATGCTGGTAGAAGAGGTAGATACTATGACGTTATACGATCCTCATGACTTGGGTTCCCACCTTTTATCATCCATTATATCTAGCTCCTGCGGTAGCCATGTATCCCATCTGCCTGTAGGAGCAGTTTACATAGCAGCTTATTTCAAACAGGTGAGTACAATCTCTGCCCCTTCAATATTCGTTATTCTATTGTTAAAAGAGCTAGAACATTTTGCATGGAAAATCAAAACAGAGAAAATCAAATGTAGTCCTTTAACACCACATTATCATTTAATTTGTTGTGTGCCGAAAGCCATAATGATACTAGCAAGTGTCTTTCGGTTTACGCACCAGTGTTGTCGAAAGGGGTCAACAAACTTAACCAACGTACTGGTACAGCAAACACACGTACGGCGGTCTTGCACGTGCAGCTGGGCAAGGGAGTTATCTATGCGCAAACAATTGTTTTCCTTTTGCAGTGGGCACGTATACTTATTCCTCCTGACTGTGCTTAAGCGACTCTAAACGCACAGCCTTCTTAAGCACGCGCCGCAGCACGTTTTCCCGGAGTTGAACCTGCTCAAGCCGACTGCTGGAGTTACTGCTTTTCTTGCCAACAACTATTTAAATGCAGTCATTGGCAAAGCGTCCGGCACGCTGCTCAGGGAAAGCGTGTGTCGGAGCTGCAAATGGCCGCCGTGTGCTAGTCTTACGTGCCCAGGCAGCTTCTTCACCGTAAGTCCAGAAGACAGCCCGTGCGTCGGTGCTGCCAAACAATTAAATATATCTAGAGGCGATTTTACAGCTTATCTAATGGGAGCTGTCAATGGCTTTCGGGTCGGTCCTTAGTCACGCCTAAGAAACACGTGGACAGAGCTCTCATCGTGCCCCCCTTACCATACGCCAACCTGCAGTAAACGATTCAATTAAATTGCGCCCTCATTCTTGACCTTCTCCCGCACTGACGCGTCCAATCCGCTCCTACAACTTGCTGCCTGTAGGGCAGTGGAGTCAATCAGCGGCGTGCGGCCGGAGGTCGTTGAGGCCATTGCCAAGGTAGGCTTCATCCTCATGCTTTCATTTGGTTGCCAAACTAAACATTTATACTCCGACATCCCTCTGATGCCCATGTGTCCCAGGCTCAGAACAACTGCCTTACTGCTACAGACCTTCCTCTGCCCAACCGTCGTCAGGTGCGACACTGACGGGTGAAAGTGGTCAGGGCTGGGGGGGAGAGAGATGGGGGCAGATCTCTGGGCTGCCGGGGGCCTCTGCCGGGGCGTCCCCGGGGACCATCTCCCCCCCTTGGGGCCCACGTGGGGCACTGGCCTCGCTTGAGAGCCAAGGCGGTGCCTCTAGGCCTCTAGGCTCTGGAAGCCCAGTTGGAAATCCCCCGAGGTAGGGGGATCGAGTCCTCACGGCCTCCCGAGCTCCTCCGCAGTGGGACCTGTGGCGGGGAAGACGATGAAGGGGGGGGCTTGCGCACGGGGAAAGGGGGGTAAGACGAACCACTGGTGAATGGAGCAGGTAACAACGGGGCGGAGGTGTTAGGGTTTTAGGGTTTTAGCAGCAGGGGCCTTTCCACCCCATGTGTACAGACCGTATCTTCCTTTGCCTGCCGCTTCCTCCTCTTGTTGCCAGCTGCCGGGGCAACCCCTGAGGCACCCTGGGCTGCTGTCGGCGGCCCTTTCCCCCCCCCCCTGGCCCCCTCTTCCTCTCCCCTTTCATCGCCTCAGGGTAAGGTTCGCGACACGTATGACCTGGGTGACCGGGTGGTCATTGTGACCACGGACCGCCAGTCGGCGTTCGACAGGCTGCTGGCGTCCGTGCCGTTTAAGGGCCAGGTGAGCGGTATGGGGACCCGGGGGCGGGGCCACACAGGGCGGGGTGTGGGAGGGGGAGGGGGAAAGACGAACCACACGCGATTGAAGCTGCTGCCAGGGCAAGATAGTAGCAACCGAAAGAACTGACCGAAAGGCGTCCGTGGCGACTGTGACGACTGTAACCTCGGGATGACGACTGTAACCTCGGGATGAAGAATTGACGTAGATGTTGGAAGTCCTACCTACCTAAGCCGCCAGAAATATTATAGCCAGACCGTAAACTAGTAGGTGTAGAAGAAGTAGTAAAGGCGGCGAGAAAAAAATGCTGACGTAAAAGTGGCGTAAAGTTGCTGGCTGGGAGAGAAAGCTGCATTGCTGATACTGAAAGGCTGCCGGTATGCAAGTGTTCCTCCCAACCCCCCAAAAAAACTAGAACGCGCGACTGACCCGACCGACCCAAACTAAACTATTCCGGCTAGCCTACCGACGCCAACGCGAAATACCAAAGAAGCTCGAACCACCTTTTGGACTCACCTGGCCAGGCCGCCGAAGTAGTGGCAAAAGACACATGCAAAAACAAAAGGGTAACAAAGAGGTGAGGCGGGTGCGATAAAGGACAGGGGGACATGCAAATGCTGCTGAGGAATACTAGTAGCTGGCTGGCTGATTTGAAATTTGAGGGGGAGGGGGAGGGGGAATTGGATTGCAAGGAACAAGTGATGGACTGTCGACGTCGGGAGGGGCGGGGGAACGACAGTCCGGGGGCGTCTTTAGGCGTAATATCGGACGGTGTTGGTGTGGGGGAAGGAAGTTAGAGCACGAGTGGCGGAGGGAACCCGGCAGAGGGCGGAGGGTGGGAGGATAGCCGTGAGACAGGCAAGGAAACAGTGGCCCGGACGTGAACTGAATGCAAATATCGCGGTTGCTTGGAAGGGAGGGGGCCGATGCTACGGCTGATGCTGATGCTGCTCGCGGCCCATTCACTGACTAGAAACCCACCTCCTCACGGTCTACCTGAGGACCCCGGGTGGGCGGCCGGGCCTTAGCGCTACTCCCCCCCCAATAACGTTGTCTGATCACCCCCCACATAGGCCCCTGGTCTGGTTGACTCCTCATGAAACCCCCTCCACCCTAGGCCCCTGCACCCTAGACCCCTCCACACCCCCCACTCCCCCACTCCACAGGTTCTCAACCAGACCGCCGCCTGGTGGTTCTCCGCCACCTCCCACATCGTCCCCTCCGCCCTGCTCACCCTGCCCGACCCCAACGTGGCGGTCATGAAGAAGTGCCGGGTCTTCCCAGTGGAGTTCGTTTGCCGTGGCTTCATGACGGGTGGGTGGTGTGTGGCTAGGGGGGTGGGTGGTGTGTGGCTAAGGGGGCTGGGGAGGGGGGTTGCTAGGGGGGTGGTGGGGGGGGGGGTTAGGGCAGCTGGAATCGACATGTGCATTCCACTTCTGGGCACGTCGGTACTTGGTACATCGGCATTTGTACCAATATTGCTCCTAGGCGGCCCCTGACGGGGGGAGACGTCCGGAGGCCCCCGGCGGTGGTTTCTCTTTTTGCGTTTCCAACCCAAACCGTTTCCTAAACAGGCTCTACTGACACCAGTCTGTGGACCCACTACAAGGCGGGCGCCCGCCAGTACTGCGGCAACAGCTTCCCCGATGGCATGAGGAAGAACGACCGGCTGGTCGCCAACGTCATCACCCCCACCACCAAGGCCGAGGATCACGATGTGCCCATCAGTCCGAAGGAGATTGTGGAGCAGGGGCTCATGACGCAGGAGGAGTGGGACACCGTGGGTATTGGGGGGGGAAAGAGGACGGGCGGGGACTTAGGTGTGTGTATGTATGTGCATGCGTGTGTGCGTGGTGGGAAGTTAGGAGATAAAAAAAGGCAAGGAGGATGAAGGTGCAGGGGGTGGTGAATGGGTGCTGGTCATATCCGTGTTTCTTCATGTTTGCCGTACGTTGGTGTCGTTGCCCCCGCGCGCGATCTCTTTCACCTCCTTTTCCCCCTTGGTGAGCCCCCTAAACCCCCCCCCTCTTAACCCCCCTTAACCCAACAGGTGAGTGCTGCTGCTCTCCGCATCTTCCAGTTCGGCCAGGAGGAGGCGGCTCGGAGGGGGCTGCTGCTGGTGGATACCAAATACGAGTTTGGAAAAGTGAGGACGGGATGGATAGAGGGGATATGCGCGGGGAGCTGGTCGGAATGCATGCATGTATGTATGTGTGTAGTAAAGGACCGTACTAGACTCGCGATTCCTTACCACATTAGCGACTGCTGCTACTGCTGCTACTGCTGCTGCTGCTGCTGCTGCTGCTGCAGACATGTCGTCAACTCTGACCCTTGTTGACGTGTTTTCATTACTCCGCCGCCTCACCCCCTTGCTCCCTCTTTCCCCCCTCCGCGCATCAGGACGCGGACGGCACCATCCGCATCATTGACGAGGTGCACACCCCGGACTCCTCCCGCTACTGGCTGGCGGACACGTATGCGGCCCGACATGCGGCGGGGCTGGAGCCGGAGAACATCGATAAGGAGTTCCTGCGCCTGTGGTTCCGACAGAGGTGAGGAGGGCGCATGGAGAGGGGACAACGAGCTTGCAAGCCCAAGCAGCCGTGTATGTGAAGTCGGCGGGGAGGGGGTGGAAAGGCGGATTAGCTGGGGGCTTGAGGGTCGGCAGGCCGGGAGGTCATTGACCGCTGTGACGACTGCTGTAACTGTCACTGCAAATATGGGGGTGAGGTTGCCGTGAGGGAGTCACCTAACATATTGGGGTGGGAGGGAGGGTTATGCACGGGGGGCAGCAGGGTTTGAGACCCTGCATTTCCGTACCACGATCTCCTGTACGGTATCCTAGCGGTATCCTGACTGAGTCTGGCTTTTTCCACAGGTGTGATCCGTACAAGGATGCCGTACTTCCCGAGGCGCCTGCCGAGCTTGTGTGCGAGCTGAGCAAGCGTTACGTGTACCTGTACGAACGGATTACGGGGCAGCCCTTCCAGGTGCCTGATTTGGCAACCCCCGTCAACGAGCGCATCGTTGCCAACTTGCGCAAGGCGGGGTTGTGCTGAGCCAGGACTACCGCCAGTTCGGCTACGGAGAACGTGCTGACAGGCTTGGCACAGCGGGGGGGGCTGAGCCGGGGAGGGGAATTGAGGGGGAGGGGGTTGTTGGCTTATTGGGGCCCCAGGCGGTGGCGGTGGCGGCGTGATCAGTGTGAAGCTTCCTAGTTTATGTGGCCGTGTGTGGGCTGCGGTCGTGGGCGCGAGGTTCAGCATTAGCTTGGATTTGAAGTTTTAGTTTTAGGGCCGTGATAAGGACGTGGCGAGGGTAGGGGCCAGGGCACTCGCGAACTCTCTGTGCAAGGAAATAAAGGAAGAGGGACGCGCTTCAGCAGCGGGGGGGGGGCCTCATAAGACAAGTCACCTTGAAAGAGGGGCTTTGGAAATTGCTCGTTCACCAAAGCGCAACGTTACCGCCGTTTTCCCGTGCGTTCACTACGTTATAAGTACTGTACGGCGTGTCCAAATAACTGTACAACATGTCCAAAGTACTGTACGGCATGCAGCTGTCGGCATGTAACGTGTAGGGTGGCTTGTCAGCTGTAGTTTGGTTAAAGTACTGAGATATTTAGGTTGTAGTCCGCGAACGTCATGTCATGCGTTAAGATTGCAACATGGCGCGACCTGGTGGTTTTGTTTAGTGTTGCTAAAGAGCTGCGCTGTGGGGTACTGACTTCCACACATCGTGTGGTAGGCGCCTTGACATCCGCAAAGACGTTTTGTGTCCTAGTAATGTTTTTTAATAATCTGCATACGGTTAAGGTACAGCGTAACCCTGGCACCCAAATACCACAAAACACACAAACGGTTTTGGAACACCGAAATCCGTACAACCCGTGGTCTGAGGCGCCTACACAAATTTAGCTATGCCACCAGACTCCAACCCTAAAAACCCTAATTTAGCTATGCCACCAGACTCCAAACCCTAAAACCCTAAGTCCCTTCAGAGGTTGTAAACAGGAGTTCGTATTCCTGTGGAACCCTTTCCCACGTCCTCCCTCCCTCAGCTGCACCGCCTCCGGCCGCTCCTGCAACGGATCCTTCACCACCACCTGAGACCCCAGGGGGGGGGGATGAACCAAAGGGTTTCCGAAGGGGGATAACCCTAGGTTTCCCTTCGGGGGAGGGACGTTCCTTGGTCCTACAGCGGCCGCCAGCTGGTGAAACCAGGTATCAGTATAATCGGCATGTGTAACCAGAATATGAGTTGATGAGAGGAGAGAGGAGAGAACCCCCTTCACATATCCCGGTAGCAAAGCCGTCCCTACCCGCAAGGTAGGTACTAACAGCGGTGTTGCCCGACATACCTATTAGCTCCAAAAGCCGCTGGTGAAAGGCAGCTCGCTTTCCGGGCTTGTGCGATATAACAACAACCACACTAACAACGCCAAACTATCATCATAACCATGAAGCCTTCGTTGGACATGAACCTTAGGCATCCTTGCTGCTCATACTATCACTGCTAAGGAAGATGGTGTTACCGTGTTTGCTGCACACATTTGCTAGCAACATAGGTTAGCATCACAACAAATACAGGGCCGTGCGGCCATACACACACAGCAGCCAACCTGAAGCGCGGGATTACCCGCTCCTGACCCACAATCCGCCCACCTGCAGACCCAACTGCTAACTTAACTCAGCCACGTCCCCTCTCCCTCATGTCTCCTTCACTTCCCCTTCTCCCCTCCGTAGCGGGCAGCCCCGCAGCCCTAGGCGCCCTGCACCCAATACACCACCCCTATCCACAGGGACACACGTCTGGACTGGGCGGGCGGGGCGGGGGCGAAGTCCACCAGAGCAGCTAATGCCTCGCCACCAACCCCACTCCGCGGGGCCACCAGGTCGGAGGGCCCGTGTGCGGCCCGAGTGCAGCTGCATATGATGTCAGAGGTGGGTAGGTGGGTGGCGGCCAACAGGGGACTGCCGCATCAGTGTGTGCATCAGCACCTCCCAGGAGGCAATACCCTCTCCGGGGCGCCCACGCGGTACCGGCTGGTCGGTACCGGCAGCTGCTCCCTTGCGGAGGTGGGCGGCCGCAACAGCCAAACTGCTCATGGCCGCACCCTTAAAGCGACCCGAACTCGCCGCGCTTCAGTGCGCTGTAGTCGTTGACCTCCCGTGCAGGGCCCCCGCCGCCCACCTCCGCCAGCGATAGACCCCCCATCATGTCCCGCACACTCACAACCTGCACCCGATATACATACATACATACCCAGGGGTTGACGGGGATGAAGTCGCCGCGAGCGGTTTGTGCATAGATGGATGGATGGATGGATGCCCCATCGATAGAGCCGGGTTAATCATTGACGTAAAAGGAAATGCACAAAGTGTGTGCCGATGTGTGAGGGCTGGCAGTGCGTGTTTTCCCGGCCGGAGATGGCAAATGGGCATGTTGCCAAAAGTGCCTTCCGAGGGTGCAGCACACAGGTGGTTCCTCCGCGGTGAGGGGGAGCTGCTGGCACCTGTGCGTGAGGGGGGCCCTTCCAGGCACGGTCGCGGCCGCTGCAGGTGGGACAGTAGGAAAGTCGCTGGCCTGTAGAATCCAATTGTACCTCGACTACTGCGGCATGTGACCAAGAGGGGCTAAACATGAAGCTACCTTGAAGAACTATAGACTGGAAGCCAGCCGTTGCGCCCCTCCAACAGACCCCCGCACCCCCCCCACAGAAATGGGTTGGAGACGTCACAGACCCCCCACCACCTCGCTCCCGTCTCCTGCTACGGACCTCCTTCACTTGCACCAGCTGCCGGTGGTCCGACCAGGGGTGATCGCAGTTGCACACCCAGGGACTATCGAAGCCGCGACAGCTGCACCCCGACTTGGCGCAAGTGTGGCTGGCCGCGTCGTGCTCCACATGCTTGTGCTTGCACCTATGTGGGTTTCGAATTTGGATTTAAACAACTTAAATTTCAAAGAGTGGGGAAAGCCATAGCCAGGCATGCACCACGGGGGAAACCCGGGGGGGGAGCATCAAACCAGGTTCGAGGGGAGGGGCGGGAGCCGTACGAATGGGGTGCAGCCGAACACCGTCATGGGGAGGATGGTGGTGTAGGGGGCGTACGGTAGGCCCCCGGGCCACGAGGGCGGTGCATGTTGGTAATGTGGGACATGCGATTTATAACACTATCAAAGCCAAGGCCACCATAAACGTCCTTCCATCTTATAGAGCTACGAAGAAGCTATTACAGCCGGAGGCTATGGGAACAGCAGCAGCAGGAGCAGCAGCTAGTGGTCCCTTGAGCTGTGTCAGGCGGGTCACCGGATGGCCCCACATGTAGCGTGTGGGCCCCAGCCCCCCCAGCAACCCGGTAGCAACCCCGGTAGCCCCACCTCACCTGCACCTCAGCACCCAAGCTCCTTCAGCTACAATGAAAAAGAAGCTCCGGCAGCTGCACTTGGCGACTTTGCACCTGAGGGGCCGCAGGGGACATGCAACAACACAGCGTGTGAACGGTCTGAGGGGTTTAGGAAATGAGGTGGTGGGGCGCGGCAGCGAGCGGGGCAATAGCGAGAATGAGGGGGGGATGTTACCCGGGAGGAGGTCGGCTACTGCTATTGCTGTTACTGCTGCTATTGCTGCTACTGCTATTGCTGCTACCGCTGTTGCTGTTACTGTGAACAAGGCAGCCTGGGAATGCTGGAAGGTTGGCCCCTGTATTCGGAATGACCTTCAACACCAAGTGGGCGTGGGGACCCGTCGAAAGCTTCCACACCACCACACCGCTGCGAGTAAGGGGCGCCGAGGGTCGAGCGGCACCACCTCCCATTAGCTGGAAATCCTCCTCCATTCGTCGGGGGCTGCAACCCGGGGTTGATGAAAAGGAGTCGCCCACTGAGGGTAGCTAGGGGCCTTCATCTGCATCTGCTCTCATCTGCCGCGAACACAAAGTCTGTGCTTTCGCTCGACCGCATGCCAAAACCCCACCTGCTACCCCCACCCCAGGGCCCATAACCACCCCCTGAACGACCGCAGTGATATCTCATCACTGAGACGTCTTTCCCGTCCGACCCCTCCGGGGACGGGGTCGCCCAGACGTTCGCCAGGTCGCGGGTCCATCCACCACACACGGCCCCAGGGGCACCAGTTCAGAGCGCACCCTTCCTCAGGCGCTGAAACACCTCGCTGTAACGCTTACATGCCGTCATGTGTGCCGTCAAATGAACACCGAGGTCATCACCACATGAGGTGTTTAGGATGGGCAGCGGTCTATCAGTCAGCGATGTGGCCGCTGTGTCGTACACATGCTTCTTCCACTAGGTTTGGAGCTAGCTGGCTTGTGTTCAGACGCCACCAGATTTGGACGAGGAATGAGCAGCAGAGGACACTCGCACAGTCCCCGTGAAGGCTGTGCACTGTGCTGCGCTGCGTAGGTTTGGTGCTACAGGCGCCGCACCTGGAGGCGGCTTGGGAGCTGGCGGGGTCGTGTTCTCTGAGCCGGTGGCCGCACAGACACCGCGACTCGCTGCGCACTGGCACGCACTCCCGCTGGCAGGTGCCGCACACCCAGGCGAATGCCTCCACCTGGCGGGTGGGTAGCGGCGGGGAGGGGCCCGGGGGAGCTGCGGAGGGGGGGGCCGTCTCCGCCGCGACCGAGGGCCCCGGTGCGGGTTCTGCCGCCTCCGGGAGGTTTGGTACTGGCGGGTTGGAACGGGAGGGTTGCATAGCGGGTCGGTTTGTGGATTTACTTGTGCGGCCGCCGTAATGCTCAACCCAGTTGCTGGTGCAGGTTTGGGGACCAGGAGAGTACACGGGATAAAATGAATGTAGCCTTGGGCCAGGGGGCCAAGCCAGCCAAGCAGACATGCACCATGAGGATATGGCTCCATTGTGGAGGATTTTTGAGATGGCAGCAGCGGGATGAATTCATGCATGCACATGCTTGCTCCTCAGCTGGCACGTAAAAGGGTTGTTTAGGGGGAAGGGTGAGGAGGCAGGAACGATATGCGCGTCGCCTCGTTACCTGAGGGGAGGGATGTTAGAGAAACACTGCGATCTATACCCTAAGATTTCCTAGTAACCCACCTGAGGACTTTGATTCATCTGAAGCTATGAGCCCCGTCCTAGTCCCGGGAGATGCACCGGTCTCGGGAGTTGAAGTTGACGCAGCTTGCTGTCTCCTTGCCTTTAAACTTGCGAGAGCATTTGCTTTTGACGTGCTCATGGCTAATGCTAGCTTAGACAGCGACGGGGCTTTTAGTTACGGTCAGCTGCTCAATTTTAAGAACCGGCAAATAAGGAAATACAAAGCTTAAGGATTGCAGCCTTATCATACAACTCCAAATTGAGTTATTCATCACGAACCAAGTAGATCAACGCACATGCTGCCTGTGACACTTTGAAATGTATACTGTGTCGACTACGCTTTTACAATAGCTGTGTTTCCAATCAGCCAAACTTGTCCACATAAGACGTAGGTGTATGGTAGTCGCATGACATCTGTTGCTTTGCCCACATGTCGAAAAGCAGACGCTTACGTAGAGTGCCGTACTGTCGTGCGCTTCGAAGGCATCGTGGCTAGCACTGTTCAGCTCACACCGCACCCATGCCAACGCCAGTGCCCAGACAGATGACATATAACACAATCTGTTCACATACATATCTCTGCATGCATATTTACCCTCGCCTGAATCGCTGTGTGCCTGGCCGCCGCGAGCACTGCCTGATCGTTTGCCTAGGATACCCTATCCTCACTCTTTCTTTCCTGATTAGCTGATACAGTTTGTGCATTGCCTGCACAGCACATGACCTATCAAGTTGAACTCCGTGCTCGGTGCATGACCCTCTTTCTTGTTGTGAAGCACTTAGGTTGGTTGCCGCTAGATTGTTGCCTGAACTTCGAGTGACCTAATTAGCACTACTTGCTTCTCGGTTCCCTTTATAACATTGTATCCTAATCTCACTCGTTCCTTACTAAATTACCTGAAACCGGGTTTCAGAGGACCATCATTACAGAGAGCTTCGACTGGACGGCGCCAGTAATCCCTGCTACCCAGTTGCCCCACTAGCTGGGACTTGAAATGCCTGGGCTAGACCCTCCAGCGGTAGGCAAAACTCTGCAAAACGTCGGCTCCGGGCTTGTGAATGCTCGTGTAGCCCACAATATTAAGGGACATGCCTGAAACAGGTCGTGAAGTCGTTCGAGATGTACACGATACCACCACACCTGGCACCATACTGTACCTGGAAAAATTTGGCACTAAGGGCTGCATAACGTTTAACCCTGCATTCCCCCTTCTAGAAACTATAAAGAGAATAACTTTAATACTCCAGTCAGATGCATTACCTCATGATGACGCTTTGCCAACATACCTTTGGACGACGGATGAGCATGTGGGGCCTTATCATGCTGAACCGCCTACGCTTACGCTCTAACATACTTAACGAGCGCTACAATCATGTCCTGTGGATTACTGCTCCAAAGATTCCTAGCGTGGCCCTTATTGTTGATCGTTTCGACGCGCTGTCACTTATGAGAAGACCAAACGCCGTCGGCGACGGCAGACAAGATGATTGGGGAACTTAGCAACTTTTGAGAAGGTCTTGATGCTAAATTTATTGTCCTGGATTGCGTCAGACGCGCCAGCTCCTCGTTTGTTCCGAGACTGGGATGGTTTCAACGGACCTATAGTACGCCAAAGAGATGTCTTATTGAAGTCAGCATATCGCGAAATGTTGCGTTATGATGATATGCGATTGGATTGGCTTTAGAGACAACCGTACCTTGCGGGAGCGGAATGTTAAATACAGTTTGGTCAGGCCAAGCAGCAGAGCAGGGCGCTAATACGACGTGGCGGAGGTCACAGGGTCACTATCGCATCAGCGGCGGCCACTGGATCTCGTCGTGTCCGTTTGGCGTTAACCACCATCAATGGAGCCGTCGCAAGTGCCTTGCCCCTCTTCAACGATATTCGTCCCCGCGCCTTGCTGCTCGGAGATGTGTCTCATTTAAAATATCTGCGGCAGCAGATGGTGCGAGGGCAAATGTCGCAGACTTTTCGGGCAGCAGCGGGCAGCAGCGGCACCAGCAGCAGTGGAGCGGCAGCTGGTCCTCAACTGACAGCAATTACAAGGGGGCTTATGGGGAGGAGGCGTCGGAGGAGACTTCCAGAGACAGGAGCCAAGCTGGCCAGCCTAACGGCAGTGAGTTGCGTAGCCGTGCCGGAAAGCTGCTGGCGCTGGGAAGCGCAGTGGGGCTAGAGCTGCTCCTGACAGGTGCGCCGGAAATGGCGGGTACTCTGAGTGTGAGGGAGGGCTGGGGGAGATGACCTTTCAGAAGCAGTCTGCAGCCCCAAGTAGAAGCAAGGAAGTAAGGGAGCAAGCAAGGGTGCACGTGAGGGTACGTGAGGAAGGAAAGGGAAACCGGGAATGCATAACGCCGCTTAGTGAGCGTCGGAAAGCTGAGCGTTGGAAAGCTGAGCGGTGGTAAGCCGAACGGTGCCGAGCGGCGCGTGCTGTCCCCCCCTCCACCCCCCCCTCCCCCTCCCCCTCCCCCTCCCCCTCCCACACCCCCATATGTGCCACATCGGGGCACTTGGGACCCCCGTATTGCACGTGGGTGCACGTGGGTCTGGTTTGCACGTGCATGTGCCACATCGTTTTCCCCCGTCCCTGTGCCTGCCCATGTCCCTGTGCCTGCGCCCGCCTCAACAGGGTGCACCGTAGGTACCTCTCTTGATCTTCGTACACACCGTATACACACAAATACGTACGTGTAAAACTTCCTAGAAGTGCGCACGGGATTGCGCATTGAGGCCAATGACGCATTCAGGCAATCCTCCCGCTTGCAGCCTAACAGCTGCATATCACTACCCGCGAGCGCACCCCCCTCCGCGGCACCCCCGCACGCAGGCGGTCTGGTGTGGACACCCCTGGCGGCGGCCGCCGTGGCCTTCCTGGTGCTGCCGGGCGCCAGGGCGCTGACGGCCGCCCAGGCAGCAGCACGCGAGGCGGAAGCTGTAGCACGTGCGGAGGCGCGTGTGCGTGCGGAGATGGCGGCGAGGGTGCCCGTGAGCCCGCCTGAGAGTGCTGCGTGGCTGGGCCGCATGATGGGCGAGCTGTGGGAGCCGTTCGTACAGCCGCTCGTACTGGGGGAGAATCTGGGGCATTGGGCGGACAAGGTACGGCGGGCGGCCCCCGCGGGGTTCGAGCTGCAGCTTGAGGAGATGAGTCTGGGGAAGGAGGCGCCTAAAATGAGCAACTTTCAGGTAGGGGGGGGGTCTGGAAGTGGTGGAGGGGGGGCCGCGGAGGCGTCAGGAGTGTTACACCGCGGGTGGAAGGGGGGGCTAATGGCCCTGTAGAACAACCTGGGGAGATGCATGCGGGCGTGTACGTGTGTGGGGTGTGGGTTGGAAGGGGGAGGGCCGTACATGTGTGTGTATGCGTGCACACGTGTGCGTGTGGTTCGGGAGAAAGTGTGTGTGGATCATTTCGTTGGAGGGTACTTCGGAACAACTGAAGCGGGCTGGCGAATGACGGCAGGGGCTTCGGGGGAGGGTGGTGGCGGGATGCGGGGGCGGGGAGCGCTGTGGAATCGAGTTGGACAGTCGTGAACCGCACTGACCTGTTCGGTACCTTTTCTCAGCGTGACCCTTGCGTCCGTGCACTTTACCTGTTTCTCCTCCCCCCCCGCCCCGACCTCCCCCCGACCTCCCCCCCGACCTCCCCCCCGACCTCCCCCCTACCTCCCACTACCTCCCCCCCGACCTCCCCCCTACCTCCCCCCTACCTCCCCCCTACCTCCCCCCGACCTCCCCCCTACCTATCCCCACTGCCACGTGTTCCGCCGCATCTCACCCCCCGTCGGTGGACATCCCCCCAGGTCCTCGCCGACCCCGCCAGCGGCCGGGTGACCGCCGTGGACTGCGACATGGCCTTCGACAGCTCCTCCATGCGGGTGGTGGTGTCGGGAAGTGGACCCCTGGGCCGCTTCAAATCCACAATGACGGGAATCAACATGAGGGGTGAGCCGTGCTGCCGTACAGTGCAGTACAAGGGAAGTATCGGGGGAGGTAGGGACTGCCAGCATGCTAGTGGCCAGCTGTATCCCCTACTTCACACGATCAGACACGTTGAAAGCAAAATGTTCAACGGTACCGGAGGGGTCTTCGTACGGCACAGGCATCGTCTGGGCATCTGGTCTGTTACAACTTTACATGGTGGCGAAGGGGTTTCCTAAAATCCGCTACAAATATCTTTCTGGGCTGCCTCAAAGCAGAGGCCCCCGCCTCCCCCCTCCTCTATCGTCATCTAGGTCGCATGCGGTTACATCCCATCCCCGACCAGCGAATGCTCCTCTTCTCTTTCCGGGAGGCCCCCCAGATCGACCCCAAGCTGACCTTGGAGGTAGGGTGTGTGTGGGGTGGGGTGGGGGAAGGGTTGAAGACAGTGATGGGGCGGGGCAGAGTAACAGGGGAGGGGTGGGTGGCGTGTTGGCGAACAGGTAAGCCAACCACGGACTGGGGGAAGGGAAGCCCCCGATTAAAAATCGTTGTACGGCTGTTGTACTTGACTGTCGTACTTGACTGGATAGCAGTGAGGTGTGGATGTTGGGAGGTTGGTCCTCCCTGCGTCCCCGCCTTGACCGCTGTTGATAGTCATCACTGGTCAGTAAATATGTTCCTGATGCGGTCCTATATTTGTCATCTCCTCGATTACTAACCCCACCAGCTATATAACTTTTCCTCCATACTAGTAAAAAATCTGGCGCTATCGATGAACTCGAATGAACTTTTCCTAATCAGGATACGTTACCATCAGGTCGTTTTGGTAATCTCCTGGACTACGTCCAGCTACCTCCGGTATCTGCTTCACTCGCCAGTGGTTGATCTTACCTCCCGCCTGCCTCTTCCCCCCTTCGCAGGGTCCGTTCCTGGGCGCCCGGGACATCCCGCCCACCTCGCTGCTGCGCTCCCTGCTGGCCGCCTCGCTGCGGGACTGCCTGGTGGAGCCCGTGCGGGGGGCCATCAGCCTGGACCCGGAGCCGAGGGTGGGGCAGGTGCGTACACACGTGCTGACGGCGGGGGGGTGCGTGTGTGTGTTTTGGTGGTGGCCACTGGGCGGTATGTGCAGGGCGGCACGTAGGTGTGTATGGGTGCGCGTGCATGTCGTTGTCGTATCCCCCGGGGGGCCGTTTCCTGTTGGGCGGCGGAGGCTATTCCACCTGGAGTGTGGGGGGATGGAGGGGGGGTTGGAGGTGGGGGCTGCTGTGGGGGCTGCTGACCGCCCGGGTGCCAATACGCAGTGAGCCAGGTAGGGTGCAAGTGCGGGGGCGCGGGGTTGTGTGGTGCAGCAGGGGGCACGGGGTCGCCTGATGGTGGCTGTGTCCCTCTCTGTGGCCTCTCTCTCTGACTCGGCTTCAGTAAGCTGCGGGGTAGCCAGGTAGGTAGGGGGTTGGGGCGGTGAGTGCAAGCAGCAGGACAGCGTTCAGAGGGGACGGGCGGACAGACGAGCCTGCCGACCACGATGATGGCTGAAGTCATCGTAGTCACCAATAACATGTCGTGTTTTAGCTCCATGACGTCATGACGTCATTGTTTGAGGTGACCATTTACAGCTGCCCTTGGATAGTCCAACAATACATAATATGCTACATGTGCGATGGTAGCTGTGTGACGCGACACCGTTGTTCCGTACCCCAACCCTCTGAGTCGCAGCCCGTTGACACGCTGGTCAACATCTACGTCGAGTCGGTGCAGGGGATCACCGCGGAGGGGGCGACCGGGGCAGCACCCGCACCTGCACCCGCACCCGCACCCGCACCCGCGCCCGCGCCCGCGCCCGCGGCGGCAGGCACCGCATCTCAACAGCAGGCGGCGTCGCCGCCATCATCGTCACCGCCACATCCCGCATCACCATCGCAACCAACCTCGACGAGCAGCTACTTGCAACAACACACTAATCCGCAATTGCCGTACCAAGACGACGCCACAGCAGCTGCATTTTTTGACTCGCTAGTAGTTCCCGACACTTCATCCCAGTCGGGCCCCTCGTCGGCTGCTCATGGTAGCGGAGGTGGGAGTAGCAATGGCGGCGGCGGCGCGGGGGCCGGAGGTGGCAGCGCAACGGTGGCGGTGGTGGCCGCGGCTTCAAGCGCTGCTGCAGCGGCCGGTGAAGCCGTGGTGGAGCGGGCGGGGGCGATTGCGAGCCTGGTCCCCGGTCTGTCCGCTGTTGCCGGGGGGGGAGGAGGAGGCGCGGAGGGTCCTGGGAGGACACCTCGGCCCAGGATGCTGCAGGTGCCGGGAGGGGGAGGGGGAACTGTTATGCCGTACTGACGGGGCTGTCAGTGTGCGGAAGTGTCACTGCGTGAAGTGTGTACGCATGGTGGGGGGGGGATTGTCGGAGGTTAACGTGATACCCATAGGTTGATTGAAAGTTGACGAGGTATTGGTATTGTGGTAGTGGGAATAGACTGGAAGACGGAGACACGCGGCGACTCCTACGGCGTCAAACACGAGCAGGGTGTGCTACCTGAAGGTCTGTGACGAAGAGAGGACTGCTTTCTTCGTACATTGTTTTTCTGTATATGGTTACTTCGTACTGTGTCGTTCAGACGAATAACTAACATTCGGATACTGCGGCTCGACGCTCACACTACCAGGTTATTGCCATCAACACGGACAGCAAGCTGCAACGGGAAACAAAACCCGTGCCGTACACACCACACAAACCGTCAACGGCCAGCGCTGGTGCGGTTCCAGGGGGTGTCGTACCAGTAATGCAAATGCTCCGTCTTAATGTGGGCCACAAGGACACCATCTACAAGCTCCTGGTACGTGTGTTGCGCCCTCTTTACCGCTGCAATCCTTGTGCTCCTGTTTCCGTCCAGCATGCGCCGATGTGCTCCTACAGGTCTACTCCCCTCACCCGTCCGTCACTGCGCTGTGCGACTGGTCCAGACTGGGTGGTGGGGCTGTGAGGGGGGCAGTGAGAGCCCCCCGGCGCCTCGCTCCATTGCCCCACCCGCCCCATACGCAACTGCCAACCACAGCTGCTGCTACTGCTACTGCCATTGCTACTCGACTGCTGCAACTGCTGCCACTGCTACTCGACTGCTGCAATTGCCACTGCTACTGCAGCAACTGCCACTGATGCTACTGCTGGTACTGCTACTGCTGCAGGTTAAGGACCTAGGCCGTAGCAGCTTGGTAGGGAGTGTCGCCGGGGGATCAGCGGCTGCTGCTACTGCTACTGCTACTGCTGGCAACACCGGTGCCGGGTCCTCCACCACTTTGCCGCCATCTGCCGCGTCATCCCTTTCCTCCTCCTCCTCCTCCTCCAGCTCCCCCGCCGCCGCCTCCTTCGGCCCGACTTCCGCGGCGTCATCTACTCCCTCATCGGTCGCTGCGGCTGTGGTTTCGGGGCTACCCACTCCGGGCCTGTTGGGCTCGGTGCGGCTGCATGTGGCGGCGGCTAAGGACGGGTGCACACTGTTTTGGGCGGCGGGGGCGGGGGGCGAGCCCGTGGCAGTCCGATGGAGGTGAGCGAGAAGACAGGATGTAGCTGATACTGGGCTAGGGCCGGAGTTATCACCGAACTGGTTGTGTATGTAGGATGGTGGGGGGAGGGTGCATGGGCATGGCAAAGCGTGCGCATGGGGCCATGAGTGTCATACATGGCAACAAACTGAACGGTTTCCGCAGCACTACAGTTTATTTGTGCCGCCCCTTTTTCCGTTATTGGTGTCTTCCTATGTTCTGTAGCTTCCCAAGCTCCTAGCAAACGGCGCCGTGCACTTTAGGATGAACCTGGCTTGTTAGGGCACGTCGAAAACATCGTTCACACATCATTCGGCTGAAGCCTGTCTCACTAGTTGTGTTTTGCACAACCCACTCCTCACAGACCCGCGGACGGGCCTTGGCGGGTGACTCTCCCGCTGGAGAGCCCCACGTCGGGTCTCCCACCGCCACCACCAGCAGCGGCACCAGCAGCAGCGGCACCACCAGCGCCTGCTGCCGCAGCAGCTGTATCAGCCCCCACGACACAGGGCAGGGAGGGAACACCTGCGGCCCAGGGAGGTCTCGGAGGCAGCTCGGGTGCCACCGGCGGCGGCAGCAGCAACGGCAGCAACGGCGGCGGCGGTAAACGGGGCAGTGGCGACAGCAGCATTAGCAGTAGCAGTAAGGAGGTGGACATCGCCTCCGATGCGATGGTAAGCGCGGGCGCTCCACCAGTTCGCAGTGATGCCGCCGTGTCTGCGGCACAGCAGGCAGAGGCGGCGGCGCCGCCAGTGTACGGCAGTGCCACGCTGGAGGCCGGCGGGAAGGCTCATCATCACGCGGCCGCTGATGCAGGAAACGCCCGCAGCGCTCCTTCACATAGTCAAGGGTCGGCGGCGGCAGTTGGCGGGCCGAGCATAACCCTGCTCATAAGTGCAGACCCGTGGGCCTATAAGGAAACAAAGCTGCTGTACGGCAGTCCGTACGATAGTCCTCGTCCAAGGTCCCTCGTTTTGCAGGTAGGGTAAGGGTGTATGTCTCACCAGCTGGTATGGTATGGTAGGTACTCCGTTCTGCTCTGCTGAATCGGGTTGGGTCGCTCGCACCTCTGTGGACAGCGACGTGGGTCACAGGTTCATAATGGCGCCGTGCCGGGTGAGACGACCGCGGGGAGCTGTAGTGGTTCAGCCGGGGCTGCCGGGGGAGGGGGGGCTGTGTGTCCTGGTTAGCATGGCGGTTCGTACTGCACACACATGGCGGCGCTGCGGGAGTAGTCAATAGGACCTGTGCACCTCACGACCTCACTGCTCTGCACCATGTTGGTGTCTTTGATGGCAGATTGTGGAGGCGCGCGACCTGGCGGCGCACGACTGGGCCGGCACATGCGACCCGTATGTCCGTATATCGTACAATGGTCGTACATACCGAACACGGACGTTGTACAATGCGCACACGCCGGTATGGCAGCAAACATTCATCCTTCCGGACGAGGGATCGGCCACCAGGTATGTATGTATGTATGGACGTATGTATGTCGGGGGCCCATGCTGATGACTAATCCCACTTCACCGCGCTTATGTGCAGCCCCGTCATTCCGCCCCGGAACCGGTTGTTGCTGTCGGTGTACGACAGCGGTGTGTCGCGGGACGATCGTCTTGGCAGCGCCTCTCTGAATCTGGACATGGCTTCCGAGCACCATCTGCAGGTCCGTTGGAGGTTGGTAGGGGGGCCATGGGTGGACCGCGGTAGGGAGGGAAGAGTTCTGCAACACCCCCTGGTCGGTTGGTCGGTTACTGTTTGTGAAGTCCATTCTTTTTGTTGGCTGGCTGTGTCGGCCTGTCGGTTCAGGTGGCGCAGATGGGCCTAATTTGCGTATAGGTTGTGTTTGCCTGGTCCAGCTGGCAGGGGGATCTGGGGCAGCTGGCAAGATATCCGTTGTGGCGACCCGTTGCTCAGACGGGTCGGTTTACTTGCCACTTACTTGGGGCTTCCCACGTCGCCACCATTAGTGATGACCAGCATTCCGGGGGACACATCTCAGGCCATCTCTTCACATTGAGCACCTGCTCACGGATCTCCACATCCGCCGTTCCGAGGGCCCCACAGGACCGATGGATTCCTCTCCAGGGCGCGGAAAGCGGCTGGCTGCGTGTACGGCTTGCGGCAATTCCGGATTCACCTGACTCGGCATCGGTACGGCGGACCGTGGAGGCCCTCGAGGGACTGACCCGTGGGTCGTCCCCACTCCTGCAGGTTGTCGTGCTGAGTGTACGTGCACTGAGTCCCAGACGGGGTGCCCAACTGCTAGGTCTGCGAGATGCGTACTGCAACATCACGTACGACGGTGCCCGTCACGTTACTCCAGTCGTACGGCAAGACCAAAACCCACGTTGGGACTATTCGGCTCTGTTTGTTATGCGGGACGATGATGCTGAGGGGCAGCAGCAGACCGGTGCGGGCGGCCATCGGCAGCAGGAGGCAGTGCCGAGGCCAGCACACCAGCCAGGAGAGGAGCAGCGGAACCAGGTGGAGGGGGCAGCAGGGACAGCGCTGGGGGCGACTGGGGGCGACTCGCCTGCCTCCTCATCGCAGTTCACTGCAGGCGGCAGCCGCAGCAGTAGCGGCCGCACGCATGGGGCCAGGCGCGGGTCTGTCAATGCGGTGGAGAACAGCAGCTATGTTGAGGGACCGTCTGCCACATCTGATAACACCCCTCTAAACAATGGGCGGCAGGAGCGCGGCAATGGAACTGCGGATGGGCGCAGCAGTAGTGGGAGCAGAGGGAACACAGACGATGAGGGCGATGGCGGGGCTTCTTTGGCTTCATTTCCACCGCACCCACTTTCAATGTCTGCCCGAGCAGCAGCAGCGGAGCCTGCACTGCCATCAGCAGCAACTGAGACGACGCCAAGGCCACCAAGGCCCCGGCCTCGCTTCCGTCGTGACCTCAACCGGGACATCCTGCGGCTGGAAGTCAAGGATTTGGCCCCGGTGGCCCCGGATGACCTGGGCTGGGTGGAGCTGCCGATACGGGCGCTTCTGCCACAGCCCGGCGATAGCTGGCAGGGCTGGCTGCCGCTGCGGCGTGGAGAGGGTGCTGAGCTGCTCGTTCGGATCAGCCGTATTGAGCCGTTGCCGCTGGGAGAGGCTGGGCTGCCGATGCCGCAGCAGCTGCAGCCGCAGGAGTGGCCAAGTGGTAAGGTGGGAGCCGGGGCTGCCGCATCACCAGCGGTACAGCCGCCGGCTTCAGGCACAGCCCCAGCAGGTAGCAATGGAGGCAGCGGCAACGGGGATGCGGGCGGCAAAGCTGTGGGATCTGAGGCTGGTTCCGGTGGTGCAGGAGGCTCACCCACACAGGGTGTTGCACTGATGCAGCGGGTGACGTTGGACAGCTTCACGGAGCAGGTGAAGTGTTACGGTCTGGGAGCGGGTGGGGAGCCGCTGTGCATTTTCGGGGCCGGTGTTGTTGAGATGCATTTCGCCAGAAATGGGAAAAGGTTTCCCGATGTTTGTAGTGTAGTGCGTGCAGTCCACACATATGCGCACGGAGGGGCATCACGGCAACTAAAAGTTGCGGATGCCTATGTTGTTAGTAACTCCGTCACCATTTCATGTCATGGAATCACGAGAGACTGTCCGCAGTACCACATGATTTCCCCGCGGATGGGAAGCAACCAAGCGTGAAGATGGCTGGATGAGGTTGCCGTTGGTAAAAGAAGCTGGGGCAATCTGGTAGCCGCATGCCAGTATGTTTATCCCTGTTTATATGCATCGGTTATTAATGCGCATTGGGTTTTGTTGCTGGCCGCTATGAGCGATTAGAGCTTATGGGGATTGCATGTGAGCAGAGAAGCTTTGCGAGCTCCAAGCCATGGATGATGAAGAGCATGTACTCTTGGAGTGCCCGGCATATAGCAATTGCTGACATTCCGTCGGGGTTCAGGTGGATCAGACTGACCAGCTGAAGTTAACGAACCTTATCCGCAGTATCTGATAGCAGGTGCACTGCTACAGCCTACCAATCTGGGTACTTCCCTTAATTTTCTACGTATCTTTTCTTCACGTTGCGTGAAAGGATAAGAGCCTTTCATATGCATTCTTTCATGTTACCTATCTCGGACATCCCGAGGCATGCCCTCGGGCCTCCGGCTTGTAGGGGCCCGCTACACCTTCAGAGAGTAACACAACTCAAGGTGTAACACACATAAAAATTTTGGGCATCCTTGCATGCAATGTTAATGTGTCGGGCCTCAACAACCAAGCCCACACCTATCGCGGCCTTCTTCCCCGTTCATCATTAACTTTCCCTCTCTTCCTCCCCCCCTTGCTCCCTGCTGTCTGTGTTTGGTGGTTGTGGTGCTTGGTTGGTTGTTAGGTGCGGGCAGCGAACAGGGCAGCGAGTAACATGGAGCAGGACCTGCGCGTCCGGCTTGGGCAGGACGTCATCCCCAAGTTGCAGGTACGTTTGTGAAAGGCTTGTGTGGTCCTCTTGCCTTCAATGAGGATCTGCTTAAATGCCTACATTCTCTTTGCTCCATTCTTCCGCCCACATGCGTTCTGTTGGTATTCTGCGGATTTTTCATCATTCCCTCCCCCGGTGTATGTCCGGAACCAGGACTGGTGGAAGGGTACCCTGCAGCACGCGGCCAACTCCCTGGAGAAGCCGGTGAGTGGGCACTGGTCCAGTCTCTGGTCCTGGTCCGGGTGCATCGGAACTCCATCCGAACCCAGTCATCACGTGGTGACGTCACGTGTGGATGGCCCAGCTCTAAATTGCCTGCTCCTGGTCTGCTTTTGCAACATTTTCACGTTCACCTGTATCCATCCAGTCTTTGGCTCTGACTTTGTGAAGAGCTGCATGCACGCATTTGTCATGTACACAACCTAATATCTTTGTCGTACCTGTGCGGTGTACCTATGTGCATGTAAGGTTTTATTTTCTTACCATTCTGTATGCCCCCTCACCATTTTCACAGGGTATGCAACTCAGTTCATGGCTCCAGAGCCCCCAGCTTGTGCCAGGCATATGGTTGGAGGGCATCAGTGCAATGCAAGGCAAACGGCAGTCACAGGTGCTGCAACAGCAGCGGCAAACGTTGTTACCGCCATCGCCACCTTCGTCCATGTCATGGCGGCCAAAGCAGGTGCAGGAGCGTCAGGTGAAGGGAGAGGCAAAGGATGGAGCTGACATGCTTGGGCCGCAGGAGCAGCTGTTGTCATCTGGCAGTAGTATTCCGAGTAGCGAACGCGGCGGCACTGTAGGAGGGCTTCTGGCAGGAGAGCGAAGACAGCTTGAGGGGTCAGCCCCGGAAATGAAGGATGGCAATAACACCCGTAACAGGGTTACGTCTGTGCAAGCTACAGCCGACGATACAGCAGAGAGCAACAGAAGTAGTGCAAATGGCTCCTCATTTAAGGAAAATGGGATTTCAGGGAAGATGGGGAAGGGAGGAGTTGGAAGGAAAAGTGGTGCTGCCAAGAGTAGCCAGTCTAATCCCCCGGAGGGTGGTGGATTGGGCCAGCTATTAGCTAGGACCTGGGAGCAGCTGCTGGGTCCGCCCGCCTATCAGCCAACAGTGCACAAACAGGAACGGCAAGAGGAGCAGCAACCGCCACCATAGAATCATGCCAAAGACCACTCCAGTTATCGCCTCATTGTGGAGGTCGCTATAATGTTGCTGTAAGGGTATCGTTAGCATGTGAAGGATGACCAGGCCTTGCGACTTACCGCTCGGAACCAGGATGCAGATGTGGTCGGGGCCCTCGTTGTGGCAGGGGCAGATGTCCACACGATCAACGAGTGCACCTTGATGTGGATCGTGGCACTTACATTACCGCGTTTCACTCGCATCCATCGTTACGCCTCTGGTGTTCTGAAACAATGCATGAGGCTCACGGGTCACTTTTGGATGCGCAGTGAGACACACACAAAGCAGCCATCCCGGGCACTGCTCGTGGCGGGGGTGCTGTATCCAGAAGATGTCCGGAGGAAGGTCTGAGGAAGGTCTGTGCAGTGTGTGAGGGGGGGGGGAGAAGGGGGCGGGATCCTCCTTTTAGCATTTTACTTGCGCATCTGAAGTGTGCCAGGCCACGATATCCCAGGAGCCTTCTTCCGTGATAGATTGCTATCGCCGATGTAGCAGCAAGTGACGATTTCAACTGGGTTTTGCAGTCTGCCTCTGAACCACCCGCTGGGCAGGGTTGTGGACGGCGGGTCTCATATTTCGTGCGTTTTCCCTTGTATCAGACTCGATGGGTCTTTTCCATACACGATGTTATGGAGTGTATCTAAACGTTACCGGTGGGGAGGAGGAGTATCGCTACTTTTTTGGGTGGGGCCCCAGCGCGAAGCGCCCAGGGGGGCCCCGACCTGTAGGATTGCCCATGTCCGTGTGTGTGTGCGTGTGTGCGTGTGTGTATAACGGACCAAACATAATATCTCGCCCGGCTGAAACGCGTTATAGGTACTATATATCATTCTCTATCGCATGGTATCTCGCCTGTAGCCAACAAAAATCGTATGAGCACAAACAACTTTGGCTGCTTCAATTGACCGAGGCCAAAGTCACATTAACGCCTCTCGGGCTAAATTTAATCTCAAAAGGTACCGCGTATCTCATATTTGAATTCCTAGATGACGGCGTATGATAACTCGAACTCCCAGCAGTGCAAGCTTAGCTCTCACACCATCAGCACTGCTGCAGCACTGCTGCAACAAAGCACATCTCCCACCGTGTTGACACTACCCATCAATTGTCACACGTGCCGCGCTAGCTACCGGCCTGTACGGATGCAGGGGGGCCCGCCCTTTTTGTGGCTTCGAGGAAGCCGACACCCGACTTGTCACGTTTGGGTTTCTCTCACATGATATGTCCGGCTGCATGTCGCCGCATCTATCACGCATAGGAACTGGAAACCGTGGATATGGTTAAGGTGATGCGGGATGGGCTGTTCTCGGGGGAGGTTGGCTGCTGTTGGGAAGCGCTTGACCAAGACGACATAGTAGACTACACTGCATATTCCCTCCTCGTCCCAATGCGGCGGGAAGACCTTGGTGCTTGTGGAGCCAGCAACCTGTGCATGCACGTTTGAAGTTAGTGCATGTCTAGTTACAGATAACACCCTGGCAGCTTTGTCATGGTCACATAAAGGCTCCTGGCAAAGACACAGCATGCTTAGTGCACAACACTTGGCCCATCAGCCTGCTCACAACATCAATGTAAGAGCCGTCAAGGCCTCTTACCTCCCATACTCTGGTTTCTGTACTGTTATGCTGCAACTTTGAAACATCAGGCAACCAGTGAACAAGTCGGGTGTCGGCTTCCTTGAAGCCAGAAAATGGGTGGGGGCTCCCTGCATCCATACAGGCCGGTAGCTAGGGTAGTGTCAACATGGTGGGAGCTATGCTTGTTGCAGCAGTGCTGATGCTGTGGGAGCTATGCTTGTCAGAGTGCAGGAGGCAGGAAGCCGGGGCTCATAACCTGTTGAAGAGACGGTGTCTCTCTGGAACCTAGCAGACACGGCTAAGAGTCATTGGCCGTTACACGTAGCCTGGAGGTCCGCGACCTGCCACCGACAGCCCCTTGCTTGGGTGTAAACGTATGAGTCTGAGGTGCCGTTACCGGCACACAGCAGGGGCTTGGCCGCCAAGTCCGCGGTCCAGGCCAGATGCTCAACGCTCAGCAGACACAATCGCAGCTTGCCAGCTTTCAGCCTGTTGGCTTTGCGGTCTGGTGCTGCAGCCATAACACACACGGAAAACAGTGCCCTACAGCACCATACACACTGCCTACAGCGCCCCTTCAGGCATTGACCGCCTGCTCACGCACCCTTGGCCCCCCCACAAAGCCTAGCTCGACACACTTCCCAAAAGCCCGCAGCACTTTCCGGTGCTGTCTGTGATGTTTATCCCCAAAGCACCAGCGGCTTCAGCAATCTGCCCCACAGCCGCGAGCTTCATCGTGGCACACTGCAAGTCTTCAGAGGCCCCGAGCATTGGCCAAAGTAATTCTACAAACTATCAGCTTGCGTACTTCATAGAGAAATGAAAGCAAATATGTCAGCCTGCAGGTGGCAAGACGGAATGCCTGTGCGGGCAGATGCTAACACAAGCTGGGTGTTCGAGTTATAAACACCGTCATCTCAAATTTCAATTATGAGATACGCGGCACGTTTTGAGATTAAATTTAGCCCGAGAGGTGTTGATGTGACTTTGGGCTCGGTGAATGGAGGCAGCCAAAGTTGTTTGTCCTCAAACAATTTTTGTTGGCTACAGGCAAGACACCTTGCAATAGAAAATGCAGTATATTACCAATAACGCGTTTCAGCCGGGCGAGATATTATGTATGTTGTTATATGGCTTCACCAGCGGCCCCCTTTCCCGAGGCAGTTCCCTGCTCTACCTGCGAGAGGGGCACCCTAATCCGTTCACACCATCCGACTTCAGAATGTATTCGTTGGGTTCAGCAACTCACCACCAGCATCCAACCAAATGTAGCGGATCAACGGCGCCTCAACTTAGTTCCTGGTCAGCTTGCAAGTTGATATTATCACGTCCTACACCGTCCATAAGATGAAGGACCACCTCCCATTTCAACACTCCTCAAACACCCGAGGAGTCGGCAGGCAGATTTGAACCCAGACACTCCGGGAGCAGAAGTCAGGCCTTAACCTCTGCCAGCCGTCGACCATATGTTTGGTCCACTACACACACACACACGGACATGGGCAATCCTACACAGCGGGTGCCCCCTGGGTGCTTCATGCTGGGCCCTACCCCCAAAACCAGAAACAATCGTTCTATTCAGTGCTCCATGGACACAGTTCTAACATGTGCAAACAAGTGCACATGGCACCCACACAGGCTCTGCCATGTGTGAGGAACCTCCTACCACAAAAGAAAGTCATGCCAAAGTGATCATGCAACCGGCCACCACTCAATAAAATAGTTTCCCTTGGTCCCTCACAGGTGCCAAACAGTCACAACCACAGCACGCCAATCGTCATCACAACACACAGCAAGACCATGTACACTTGACACCTGCCAGTGGTGGCTAGTGGCCTTCAAACAGCCTCAGCCAAGTCATCACCAGCAATGGTCATGATGCATGCTAGTATCATAAACCCTAAAACATCTTGATGTTGTTTGGATTTAACATCACACATGAACAGTGTTTTATTACGCATTTGTGTTAAGACTATTGTTATATCTAACCAGATCACAACTGGATGGTGGCGTCGGAAGACACCGATTGGAAGAGTGTTGTCCACTTAAATAGTGGGGATGCAGCCATCACTTGAATCATATGGCCTGTTCCGAAATGGTGCCGGAATGCCATACCGTTGATCCATGCTTCCAATTGATGATGGGGCTCCATGAGCCAGGGACCAGCATCCCAGTCATAGCCTGTGCTACGACCCCCGCCCATACTTCTGCAAGTATGGACTTATGCCTGAGGCGGCGTTTAACTTGTAGGCATCCATGACAGCTTCCCGCTCGCCGTCTAACCCAGAGGTTGGAGACATAAGATCTGACAGAAAGGGGGCAAAATAGGCAATTGGAATTTAGTTAGTTCCTGTGACTTGACCAACAACCAGCCAAGCAAGAAGGAAAAACTAGATAGAAAAGGTATCAGTTTGGGACCAGATTTTAAAAACGGTATACAACAACTATGCATTATCATCAAGTTCAGTGTGTTGTGAATCAGACGATTATTCCAGTCAGACCTCTCTACTGTTGTCTTGACGACAATTTGTCGTACTTATGGAACTGTACTCGGAGCTTAAGTAGCCGTATAGCGGAAGGCACAGAGCAGCTTGCAAGTTTATAACACAGTGCCATATTGGATGGAACCAACCAATAGTTTCCAATGCCCACCGGCCTTCTCCAAACACCTTGGCCCCGAACCCCACCACAGCCTAGGCTTCTTCGTCACTATTTTTGTAATCTTTTGTTTGCCCTCTCACTGCACACTTGCTGTTTCCCTACTTAACAGTTTGACCCTGCTCCCCCTGTTTACCTCAGCAGAAACGCTCGGGAAAAAAACACTTGAAGATCTCATACGACCGTACAAGCCGGCACTCCTGTGGGCATATCCCCTCCAGTTCGATGGTAATAAGGCCGCGTACCTCCTCGATTTCCTGCTCCAGGGCCGCCAAGCTGGCGGGGTGGGTGAGCCCGTTCTGGCGTGTGATTACTGTGTTGGCCTGTTCAGCCAGCTCAGCTGCTGTCAGGCCAAGCTTCTGAGCAAGCTGCGGCAGCTGTGATACCCGATCTGCCAGCATGTTCTGGTACCAAGTGCTGCTAGTTTCTCTGAAGCTTTGCGCGCCGCAGGTGTAGAGAAGAAGTTGCACAACAACGTTCCGAAGTCGATGAGCACGGTCCCTAGTCTGGTCCTCCCTCATGGCAGCCATATTCTGCTGGAGATTGTCTAGTTGAGTAGATATTGACTGTATCATCTGCAGGAGGTTGCCCGGCGGCACTGCGACCATGGTGGCACTGTTCACGGATGACCGGCCCTATTTGCCTTTCACTAGGAGGAGCCGATTTACTTGATGGTGTAGTAATTTGGAATCTGTTAGGATGTAAATGAAAGGTTTATAACTCTGTAATATTGCGGGCCTGCAGGCGGCCGTATTCTTGCAGTTGATGACGCGGCACAAGAAGCCTTCTTGAAGAAGCCAGTGTTCGGGCCGAAACGGAAACCTGCCGAAACGGAAACCTGCCGAAACTAGTTTCGGTGTTTCCGGCGAAGAGGTCCTGGTTCTGCGGAAAGGCCGAAACTAGTTTCGGCTAGCGCCGTACGGCGGAACCTACTTTGAATAGTTTCAAAGTGTAGGCGCGTTGTGCAAGGCTGCGAAACTCTGCGAGTTTATCTTATCAATGTCTCAGACAACTTCCGTTGTCAGTGCAGACACAGATCCGGTCAAAAACAAGGGCGGAAGGACCGCTGATCAGACCGTTTGGGCTCACTTTGAGAAGAAATAATATAATGCAAAGTGTAAGAACTGGACTATCATCTGCAAGTACTGCCGGACCGAGTCCAAGCAAGGGCGCCTTCAGGAGATGCGCGTCCATATCGCGCAAAAGTGCAAATTTGTATTATAAGCCCTAGAGCTTGCTTGCATGTGTGTATGCCAGTATTAGATGTTTGAGGGTTATCTTTGGTTAGGTACCAGTTCTGTGCAGGGCATGCCGTGATCTAGCACAAGGTTAGTGTCGACTAGGACATGGTGCGGTATCAGGTGGTGTTGAGCACGGAGCGACAGGCAGATTTAGAGAATGGGGCCCAGCATGTGGCACCCAAGATGGCTGTGAGCAGTGGTATGGAGGGCAGATCTTCAACCTGGTTCAGCGGCCCCCAACCACCAGCAGCTTCATGTAAAAGTTTCCCTTTGCGCATCCCAACATCAGACGCCAGTTACATAAGAAAAATGTCAGTGAATTCAAGCTATAATCGCAGTTAGTAACATTAGGGTTTAGGGTTTTAGGGTTTTGCGGAAAGCTGCGAAAACTATAAAATGAATATGTAACGATGTTTTTTAGCTCTTCTCAGTGTGGCGATAACATGGACAGTCTGAAACCAGCTTGTGGCAGTGCGGTTCTGTCCGGTGGGATCTAGAATCTGGTGGATAGCAATCGTGCTCAAAGGTAGAGCCATCTAAACGTATTACTGGGGGTGGCGGGGGCCAAGCGATCAACTATTGTGTGCCCACACCCTTGACGGTGTTCACCCTGCCCCCTTCAAGCATAATAATCGTCTCCCTGTCCGTTGCGGAGCAGTGACATGTCTGCATGCCTACTCCACATACCCGTCTGGCATGTCTGCATGCCTCACGGACAAGTCTATGCTGACTGTGCATTAATCCAGTAATCGTCCAAACAATATGAATTCAAAATAAAAAAATCAAAAAGAATAAAAAAGGCGAGAGGGCTAAAGTATCTAAAAATGGCACCGCACAACGACAACTGCAACGACGTGGCTCTGTGAACTTCAACCACGTTTACGGACATTGTGGAATCAATTATCAAAAACCCTTCTTCTGAGCAGAAACACAGTCAATCTCTATGACTTCGGCAGCCCCCAGGTCGGGGCCAGTGGTTGTTGACATTTGACTTAATCTGATAACTCCATAGTGTAAAACGCAGTCTTTAAATGGCAAACACATGCCTGGAGTCTGTTTTTCAATTTCTGCCGTACAGCAAACGCGGAAATGCGGATTCTCTTTCCGCATTTCCGCCAATGTGGGCTTCGCTTCCTATTTATGCAGGTTTCCGTTTCCGCAGGTTTCCGTTTCGGCTCGTTCCCTGGTTGATCGTTTATATTGCTTGTTAATTGTTAGCTTTTTTTGTGCTGGCGAGGCTCAGTCTGGCCTAGCCTGGCAGTCCCAATCTAATGCACAGTTGCCCTAGTTTCTAGCCCATACATAAAACAGTGTCTTATGACTGGTTTACCTATTCAGTGCACCGAAATTTGACCGATGTCCTCTGCGGCTGTCCTCTTCAGGTTCGACATTCAGTCACGAACTTATGCGGACACAGACACGCTGTCTCTTAGGGTTTAGGGTTTGCTTAGGGTTTTAGGGTTTTAGGGAGTACACACGGGGGGAAAGAATGGGCTATTGCAGTGAAGCAAAACCTAACCTAGGTAATTATAGCGCCTGCAAGATTGGGGCAACATTTCTGGGTGCTGTTGCATGCCTGTGCAGTGTAATGCATTCCCCAGACACCAAGCAAATGCAGCAAAAGGCAATAACAGCGCCTGCAAGATTGGGGCAACGTTTCTGGGTATTGTTGCATTCCTGTGCAGCGAAATGCATTCTCCCTAGCACACACTACAACTCAACATCCCAACGATGGCGCATGTAATGTGGCAAAACAGATCGTCACCATTTTTCGTTGACAGGCTTGATGTTCCTTGACGTTAAATGCAAAACCAATTTCTGTGGTGTTCTGTGCCCCGACCCTCCCAACCCTCCCAACCCCGATTCCCTGACCCTCCCTAACCCCCATACCCCGCCAACCCCGGTGCCCCGACCCTCCCAACCCTCCCAACCCCGATTCCCTGACCCTCCCTAACCCCCATACCCCGCCAACCCCGGTGCCCAGACCCTCCCAACCCCAATTCCCTGACCCTCCCTAACCCCCATACCCCGCCAACCCCCATGCCCAGACCCTCCCAACCCTCCCAACCCCGATTCCCCGATTCTCCCTATTCATACACACCTTGTAGCGATGAATGAAGTACGTTCCTCGACTCGAAAAGCTCCAAGCCTCGCTCTGGAGGGTAGTGGGTGCAGTAGGAGGCCAAGGAAAACGTTAGGAGAAGCTTCAAACATGCACATTCTAATGCACCGTTTTTAGCACTTATCTAGGGCGTTGGGGAGTACACACGGGGGAAAGAATGGGCTATTGCAGCGAAGCAACGCCCCAGATAAGTGCTAAAAAG